ATCGCTGAAAAGTGAAACGAAAATGTCAAGAAGTAAAATGAAAATGTCAAAAACAAAAACGAAAATGTCAAAAACTAAAATGAAAATGTCAAAAACAAAAGCGCAAATGTCAAAAACTGAAAATACAGAAAACTATTTCCACCGCGGTGATAATAACCCACCGCGGTAATAATATTTCAACCGCGGTGAAAACTATTTACACATCGGTAATAATATTTCCACCGCGGTGGGAAAATTATCACCGCGGTGGAAATAGTTTTCTGTGGTTTCATTGTATTTTTTTGACATTTTCATTTTAGTTTTTGACCTTTTCGTTTTGGTTTTTGACATTTCCATTTTAATTTATGACATTTTCGCTTTACATTTCAGCGACTCAATAGCTACTTGAAAGTACATTTTCCATGTTTTCGGTTGTTTTTATACATGATTTATCACATATTTGTATGACAAATTGTGTATATTTGCAAAAGGTTACGATAAAAGTAAGTTAAACATCAAAATATTGAAAAACAGACTCCATGTCCCTTATGGGCCACCGTAATAAGTGATCTTCAAGATCAGTGGTCAAAAAGCATATTTTCTTCCATAAAACAAAAAGGGTAATCAACATGATGTCAATAAGTATGGTGGGATATGTCTAACGTACGTTTGTGGGTAGATATTCACATCTATACTTAACAATTGTTTGAAAGGTTTTGTTGAGTTTATGAATGTTTATATATGGAATCGGGGCGGTCGGGTAGCCTAGTGGTTAAAGCTTTCGCCCGAATACCCGGGTTCGATTCCCGACATGGGTACAATGTGTGAAGCCAATTCCTGGTGTCCCCCGCCGTGATATTGCTGGAATATAGCTAAAAGCGGCGTAAAACCATACTCACTCACTCACTATATATTGAATCCTAGAAGGGACATTTTTGCGTTGTCGCGTTGTCGCATTATCGACCTTCCAAAAAACAAACAAAAAGTCTCAAATTTAACCAAAGAGCGACAATGTGACAACGCGACATTTTGGCCATTTGTCGCATTGTTACAACAGTTTTGTCGCAAATGGGGATTGAGTGTTAATTTTAAGAAGACTGAAGTTTTAATTTTTAGAGTGGTGGAAAAGTGAAGTTTGTTCTATTGGTGGTAGAAAGTTGAAGATTTCAACCTATTATAATTATTTGGGACTGATATTTTCAGGTAAGGTTTTCTGGTCAAAAGCTGTTCAAAATTTTGAAAATAAAGCTAACAAAGCACTGTCCTCTGTAAAAATCATTGTTAAGAGTTTGGAAAAGATATCCCCTGCAGCTCTATTCAAAATCTTTGATGTCCAGATAAACCAATCAGTTCGTATGCATCTGAGATATGGGAATTCCAAAAATGGACTGTCATTAAACAATTTCATGTAAGATTTTGCAAATATGTCTTAGGTGTGGGTTATAATTGTACTAATGTTGCTATCCTAGCTGAATGTGGAAGACATTTTATTTTTGTTGATTCGTTGTTGGTTAAATACTGGCTTAGACTTCATGAATTGCCAGAAATCAGATATCCAAAACAGTGTTAAGCAGCTCTCACACTTTGCCGAGGTGGTTGCCGAGCTCTACCGAGCATAACTCGGTTAGGACTCGGGAAGAGACTACCTATATACGAGTATCATACGAGTACGCTACGAGTGTGTTACGAGCCCCATAGGAGTCCAATAGAAGTCCAGTAGGAGTGCAATAGGAGTCTATTAAGAGTTGCATACGAGCACAACGATCTCGATACGAGCTGTACGAGTTTGGTACGACTTTGGTACGAAATGGCTACGAGCTGCGAACTAATTCGGCGGGAATTACACTCGTACAGCTCGTATTAGACTCGGTCAACTCGGCAATAAATTTTGCAGACGATCCTCATACGAGTTCTGTACGAGCACCACGAGGTCGCCACGAGGGTACTACGAGTAGGACGAGTGTGTTACGAGTTTATTACGAGTTTGCTAGGAGTTGGAGTCGTAGATCAGTATGAGGTATCCCGAGTTACCCCGAGTTTAGTACGACCTCGCTACGAGCTCCATACGAGTACCCCCGAGCCAGCTCGGGTCCATACTCGGGACGCAACTCGGCAAAGTGTGAGAGCCCCTTTACAAGCTAGACAAGTTAGGACAAAAATGTGGGTATATCATATTAGAACGATATGGTTTCGATATGGATATAGTTTTGTTTGGGATGCATCGGGTGTTGGCAAGAAAGAAACCTTTTCGTTTAAATTTGAAACAAGAATAAAAAATTGCCACGTGCAATCTGTATTTTCGGATATTTCCAACTGTTCATCATATGGATTTTATTCTGAAATAAAACAATCGTTCTGTATAGAAACGTACGTGTTGAACATAAAATCAAAAGACGAACGGAGTAGAATTACTTTATTAATAACGTTGGTGACCACGGCGTTCAGCATCTTGACTCCTGCGAGTTTCTACGGCTTTGGTCCTGTCCCGCACAGAAGCACATGTACCATATGTAGTGTCTCCTTAGGCAAGTGACTTTAATCGAAATGTGCCTGTTCACCCAGCAGTGAGTGGGTACCCGGCAGGATGAGATGGTAACCATCTAGCGCCTCACATGCAGCTTGGGTAGTATACTCCCCAGGGAGCTGAGAATTAAAATCGAGTGCTCACTGATCCATTGACTGGTGTAATAATATAGGCGCCATGAGCACACGAGCTGGTATGGAGTAAAAATGGACTCATTATTACTATTATTATTATTATCATTATCATTATTATTATTATTATTATTAAGGGTTGCCGAACTACCCATTTACAAACATATTGGTAGACGTGATGGTGTTCCACGTCAGGGTCGTTTTTGTTAAACATATATCGTAGAAGATAAATTTCCCTTTCTCTAAATAAAAAAGTCCAGTATATCATCATCTTCGTCAAAAACGTTTAAGAAATTTACCTTCGCACATCAAGAATAACTTCCTAACTCATTTCTTACATGTAGTAATCTCGTGTATTTTCGTACTCATATTATATTAGTGATACTTTGTTTTTATACAGTTCCTTTCTATAGTAAAATCCATATGATGAACAGTTGGAAATATCCGAGAATACAGATTGCACGTGGCAATTTTTTTCCTTGCTGCAACTCCTGTTTTTGTATCTTCAAAATTGACGTTTTATGTACGCGAGGCTAAGGTATGTCTACTGAATGAACTGATTGATTGATTGTACGTCCGTTTCTCTGCATGTTTTCGTATCTCTGCCTGGACAGATTCTCTGCTCTGTTTGCTTGTATACTTGTACATGTATCAGCATTTTATGTGTATGTCTTCTTGTGCATCTTTTTGGTGTGAAGAAATAATTTGTTCCAGAAAATCGTCGAAGGTTTGCTTCAAGTTCTGCGACCTCAACCTGCATTATTTACTTGTCATCTGGGTGTCTGGAAATATGTGTTAATGTTTGATTCTTCCCTTGAGATGTTTCAGAAAATGTTTGTCTTGAAGCCGAAGCAGAAAAAGTATTATGACCCTAACGAAAACCTCTGGATTTTGTCATGGCAATGCTTGTTTCGTTTCTACCCGTTTAGATCCGTGGTAGAATAGGTCTTCAGTAACTCACGCTTGTCATAAAAGGCGACTATGCTTGTCGTAAGAGGCGACTAACGGGATCCGGTGGTCAGGCTCGCAGACTTGGTTGATGCATGTCATCGCTCCCAACTGCGTGGATCGATGCTCGTGATATCAATCACTGGCTTGTCTGGTCCAGACTCGATTGACAGACGTCATATAGCTGGAATATTGCTGAGTGCAGCGATAAACAACACAGAAGCAAACACAACTTGTTTCGTTTGTTACAACTTATATACTGAACAAAAAACGTGGTTGGGGAAGACTAAGGACACAATTGCATATACATATCTCCCAAAATATTCATGATTCCTAACTTTTTCAGTATATGAGCAAATATAATATGTTACCAATCTCATTATTTGTGTCTTTAAAAATGGCTTTTACTAATTTCTTCCTTCATGAGTTCATCACTCTCCTTGTCGCTACATGTCATCGATCCCAATCGCGTGGATCGATGCTCATGCTGTCAATCCCTGGATTGTCTGGTCCAGACTCGATTATTTACATACCGCCGTCATATAGCTGGAATATTGCTGAGTGCGGCGTTAAACAACAAACAAACCAACCAACCAACCAACCTTGTCGCTGGCGTCAAAATGAGTCAAGTTCCCGGTTGTCGTGTTTGTGCGATGTGTTTTGGCGCCATGTTCAGAATGATTTGAAAAACGCCATCAAAACAGCGCTGAACACTTACAGCATGTTTTTGTCTCTAAAGCTTCCGGGAGTGTGTTGTATTCCTCTACATCAAAGATGTCTACTTCCGGTTCACTCGGAAGTAGAAATAAGGTACAGTCGAAGGTACCAGGATCACAGAGGGCATCTTACCCGAACGCAACAATACGTTTAACCAATAAGTACGTAAGTGAGTGACTTGGGTTTCAGTTATAGCAACATGTTGTAGACTGGTGAAACCCACCAGCATTGTATGGTGCTGTAAAACAGAATCATACACCGGGGGAATCTTGAATTCAAACCCGCGATAATAGGATCCACGAACACCTAAGGGAAACAACTCTGTTCAGATATTTAACGCCTGGACCGTCCGTGATCCACTTTATCCACACACAAAAATAATTTTAAACCATGAACATCGCAAACACCAACGTCAACAGCAACATGACGTCAACTGGAAGGCAGAACATGATTTGAACATTTTCGAATGAGTGAGTGAGTGAATACTGTTTTACGTCACCAATAGTTCAGCTATTTCTTGACCTGCCAAACCAGAGGTTGATATTATGACCGCCGTCGAGGTAAAATGCACGACTGACCGAGTCTGGCCACCCGATACACTTTAGACGTCGGCTTAAGACAAATATTCGTGGGGTCAGGAGTCCCCCAGGGGGACTGTTTCATCACAGGTCTCAGAATGAAAGAAATGACAGAAATTCATCAGTGCTCAAGAGCTTTATTTTCTTATTTTCTTTCTCCGACCCTACAGCTGAGGCAACCAGACAAGCGACGGAGCAACGTAAAGGACTTCCGGGAGTGTGATACCTTCAACAGAAATAATAACAACCTTACCACCACAATGGCTGCCATTTATCAACACAACAAAATTATTAGAATGAAAGGTATATTTAAATCTGATTACGGACATAATATATAAAGTTCAATTCATCCCATTCTACAGATAAATCCATGGAACTTTTAGAAATATAACACAGCAAAATTATTAGAATGAAAGGTATATTTAAATCTGATTACGGACATAATATATAAAGTTCAATGCATCCCATTCTACAGATAAATCAATGGTACTTTTAGAAATATAACACAGCAAAATTATAAGAATGAAAGGTATATTTAAATCTGATTACGGACATAATGTATAAAGTTCAATGCATCCCATTCTACAGATAAATCAATGGTACTTTTAGAAATATAACACAACAAAATTATAAGAATGAAAGGTATATTTAAATCTGATTACGGACATATTGTATAAAGTTCAATGCATCCCATTCTACAGATAAATCAATGGTACTTCTAGAAATATAACACAACAAAATTATAAGAATGAAAGGTATATTTAAATCTGATTACGGACATATTGTATAAAGTTCAATGCATCCCATTCTACAGATAAATCAATGGTACTTTTAGAAATATAACACAACAAAATAATAAGAATGAAAGATATATTTAAATCTGATTACGGACATAATGTATAAAGTTCAATGCATCCCATTCTACAGATAAATCAATGGTACTTTTAGAAATGTTGCAGGATTATGAACAGATTTATTTCTGTGTATGTGTGAAATCGAGCCTTGACCATGCTATTTTATTGCAAAAAATCTTAATGATAAGATGTTAAGGGGAAAAATTACCTGTTTTCAAACCCGTTCTACCCATTGATGCCGTCACCAATTCCAGTTCCCGTTCCTGTACCCGTCCCAGTACCTGTCCCGGTTGTGGTTGGTAAAGTTAAACCATTGCTATTAAATCCGGTGAATCCATTTAATCCCGTGAAACCGCTGAACCCGTTGGTGAATCCGTTCAATCCGGTGTTGAATCCGTTCAATCCGGTGTTGAATCCGTTGGTGAATCCGTTCAATCCGGTGTTGAATCCGTTCAATCCGGTGTTGAATCCGTTCAATCCGGTGTTGAATCCGTTCAACCCGTTGGTGAATCCGTTCAATCCGTTCAATCCGTTCAACCCGTTGGTGAATCCGTTGAATCCGTTGTTGAAACCGAATTGGTTTAAACCATTTATGTTTGCCCCAGTAAAACCGGAGAAACCCGGAAATCCCTGGAACCCGTTCAGGCCCGGCTGAAAGTTATTGAATCCGTTTAGACCGTTAAAGTTGGTTTGTCCGGTTCCTGTTGTGGGGAAGCCGAAGCCAAAGCCGACAGTGGTTCTCGGAACGGACAGGAAGCCGAAACTACTACCGACGTTGCCGAGTCCGCTTAAGCCTCCTAAGCCTCTTAAGCCTCCAAAGCCTCCTCCGAGTCTGCCAATGCGTCCAAAGCCACCAAACCGATTAAACGGGTTAAATCGCCCTATTTGCGCGTTTGTTGCCAAGGCGACAGCCAGTAAAACGAGGAGGGTGGGAACAGCCTTCATTGTTAGGGGTAACTGTCAAAATAAAATAAACACGTCAACACCAGAGAATAACCAGTCTCGATTATCCGACGAAACAGATTCCATTGGGCGTAAAAGTCGAAATAGCAGTGAAAGGGAGCACTGAAAATCACTGATGACACCAGGTGTTTGCAAAAAGGATAAACTGCCCGACCTACTGTATGTGTTTAATACAGAACATATACTGATGGACAAATATAAAATGGACGCGAGGCATTATTAATGCTTAAAAAGGTGTCCGATGATGTGTGATCAGCGTTAGTATCTGCCTCGTCACCACATTTAGAAAACATCTACATGCTATAAAACAAAGTTTCCCCGTTCGCATATTTGATTCTATCGGTATATGAGTTCTGTAATTCTCAATGTCTGAGAACACCCGTTAAGATTCCCGGTTAGAATTGAAGGCGACTAACGGGATCGGGTGGTCAGGCTGGCTGACTTGGTTGATGGATGTCATCATATCCCAAATGCGTAGATAGATGCTCATGATGCCAATCGCTGGATTGACTGGTCCAGATTCGATTATTTAATATAGGCTTAAACAAGGACTGGTCGGCTCGGAGTCAGTATACTGTGTCTGAGTGGGGTATTCATGTTAAACTGCGGCATGGTATCTCAGTGAGCAAGCACAATACATCGGCATCAGTCCGGACTAGTACAAGCAGCCACACACACACACACACACACACACACACACACAGACATTCGCACGTGCAGTAATCTTGAACGCGACGTTAAACCCAATTTCACCTCACCTCAGTGTTGTAGAGTAACAAAGACAAACATTTTATCTCGTAAGCTAATTCACCAAACACAACACCGAACCCTGAATATAAAAGACTCACCTTGAACAGACGGTCGGGCCGAGCTTCTGGTTCCGATCGAAAAGCGTTTTCCGGTTTTATATATTATCCCATGGGCATGATACGCAATTAGCACCATGATTATCCGAGGGGGCATAACCCATGTAATCTGTCAGTCAAATCACTCAAATTGACAGCAGAGTCTTTGAAGAAAAATCTAACATTTTGTTGTTCACGACAAGTCCATACATCTTTCGGCAAACTGATTTTTTTGTCAATCATGAAACTCATTTGTGCGATCTGCGAGTACGTATGATATGAAGAGAGTTGTCCGGAGGTTATGAATCGTAATAGAATCGATATCCGGTCGATTTACAACTGAAATACACTGTGTAACCAATAGACAACCGCAGATCTACATTGTATAACCGATATATATTTGTTATATGGCAGTGGAGATTGTTGTTTGTTTGTTTCTGGTGATTGTCGATGCCAGCGTGTTTGTTTCTGGTGATTGTCGATGCCAGCGTGTTTGTTTCTGGCGACAACGCGTGACTCTGGCGCCCGAGGGATGCCGAGTACTGTAGCTGTCAATCTGTTCCGGGAGTATGCTCTTTAGTGTTACTTCCCTTGTGTTATAGGGCCTGTTACGTATTGCTGGCGACACTTATTTGATCCATTGTATTGCCTTTTTTATCGAAAACCAAGATCTGTGTGCTTCAAAATATTTTGTTAATTGTTCGTGTGGTCATTTACCGATTTGGTTCTGTATAAGTGATTTATCCTGCATCGCAGAAATCCACGTGCAGCCTTACTTGTTCGTGGCGGGGTATAAGGGATTTACGTATTCTCCTGCTGAAAGAATATTTGGCTCCAAGGCGGGATACATAATTTTTTACCAAGGCCACGTGGACCAATCAGATCTCATCATTGAGGCATGATGAACAAATTCATGCACCAGTGGTTTTCTCTATTCCTAACACCAGCCGGGAAATATAGTGGTATAGTCCTGCTTGAGTAGGTGTACAGATGCCTTCTGTAATAGTATTAAATTAAAACGGTTAAGGATATTGATATTTTTTATTCATGTGACTTTTTCAGACATACAATAACACAGTCTCCGTCATTGAGAGAACGAGTCCATCTTGACTACAGGGGGCACGGGTTGCCCAATCGTCTAAGTCTAACTTAGTCTAAGTTATGTTTCTAGGTTTGTCAGCACCATACCCGTGCTCGTGGGTTTCACCGAAGCGGTAAACGTCTTAGACCTGCATCACTTCGGGCTTTCCTTCCACATTAAGCTGACACGCCGTGATATAACTGGAATAATGTTAAAAGCGGCGTTAAACCCAACTCACTCACTCACTCACTCTTGACTACATGTCCGGCAGCAGTCAGATGCTCAAAACAAGTCTCCTTCCTGCTCGGTGCTGGTCTTTAAGTCTTGGCAACCTCTGGTAAGTCTCACTGTAAGTCCTCGTGTGGGGTGGTTGGCGGTCACCATGGGTCATCTGGGTCAACGTTTTTCTCTCGGTCTTCTCAAAGCTCTGCAGCACCTTGACAAGAGCAACTGTGATAGGATGGGCCTGTGCACCACCTTCTTGAGATGAGAGTGCCATTCCTCGAGCTGGTTGTTTCTCCAAGGACCGAGGTGGTGATGGTGATTTCCAGGTCCCAATGCGGCTGGTCATCGATCCAGGAGTTGTCCATGGACCTACTGTCCCATCTTCCGTCTCTGCTTGTTCTATTCTTCAGTGAACGTCAGGAAGGACCCCATGGTCTGGTTGGCCCATATCCTAGTCAAGGGCCTGCTGGTTCTGATCATCGGAGTTGTCTTGGACTGAACTCGCTGACGCAGAGAACTACCTTCAGTGCTACCTGGTCTTCTCGGGAATGGTTGTGTGGAGACTAGCTCCGGAAAACTTGCCCACTGTGGTACACTTCCTAGGCAGCAGCCCTGAACACATTTCCAGTCTACACACGTCAATGTCAGGTTATTGAGTCTGTACCTGTAGCAATCAAAGATTTGTGAAGTACAGTAAAGTACGGTTATAACGAACTCAAAGGGACTACTAATTTTAGTTCGCTATAACCGTAGTTCGTTATAAGCATATATACAGCATAACTACAGCAAATAGTCGGACCAAAAAAAGTAAGTTCGTTATATCCGTAAGTTCGTTATAAGCGTGTTCGTTATAACCGTAGTGTACTGTATTTCTTAGAATTTCTATAGCTGTATATTTCCCTCTCCCCTTTGAGTAAACTAAATACTTAAGTAAAACAAATATTCTTACAACATTTTCCTATTTACACCAAGCCATGAACTATCATGAATAAACACGAGATACACCAGGAGAAGCATATACAGGGTATTCAGCTAGTCTGTTGCAACAGTGTAGGCATTAGTGAACTCCAACGTTGTGGATCAGCCCACCTGTGTGCACGGAAGCGTTACACAGTCACTGCGCTGAAGCAACACACTCTATAGGATTTGTTGTCACACCTAGAGGATTTGCTGTCTTTATTTCCTCCAGTACTGAAGATTACACTTTCACATACTCTGTAGCTATTATTCCTTATAGGCAGACCTAACCGTAACCGTACGAGGTACTGGGGTTCTGTCCTGCCGGAAACGCCTCGTAGTAGACGAGTACGGGGTACTCGGGAACTGTTTAGCCGGAAACCCCACATGGTAGACGAGTACGGGGTACTGGGGAACTGTCTAGCCGGAAACCCCATATGGTAGACGAGTACGGGGTACTGGGGAACTGTGCTGCCGGAAACCCCTCATGGTAGACGAGAACGAGGTACTGGGGAACTGTCTAGCCGGAAACCCTTCGTGGTAGACGAGTACGGGGTACTGGGGAACTGTCCTGCCGGAAACGCCTCGTGGTAGACGAGTACGGGGTCCTGGGGAACTGTCTAGCCAGAAACCCCACATGGTAGACGAGTACGAGGTACTGGGGAACTGTCTAGCCGGAAACCCCTCGTGGTAGACAAGTACGGGGTACTGGGGAACTGTCTAGCCGGAAACCCCACATGGTAGACGAGTACGAGGTACTGGGGTTCTGTCTAGCCGGAAACCCCTCATGGTAGACGAGTACGAGGTACTGGGGAACTGTCTAGCCGGAAACCCCACATGGTAGACGAGTGTTAGGTACTGGGGAACTGTCTAGCCGGAAACCCCTCGTGGTAGACGAGTACGGGGTACTGGGGAACTGTCTAGCCGGAAACCCCACATGGTAGACGAGTACGAGGTACTGGGGTTCTGTCTAGCCGGAAACCCCACATGGTAGACGAGTACGGGGTACTGGGGAACTGTCTAGCCGGAAACCCCTCGTGTTAGACGCGTACGAGGTACTGGGGTTCTGTCCTGCCGGAAACGCCTCGTGGTAGACGAGTACGAGGTATTGGGGAACTGTCTAGCCGGAAAGCCATGTTGGTAGACGAGTGTCAGGTACTAGGAACTGTCTAGCCTGAAACCGCTCGTGGTAGACTAGTACAAGGTCCTGGGTATCCGTTCGTGCAGGAAACCCCACATGGTAGACGAGTACGAGGTACTGGGGAGCTGTCCTGCCGGAAACGCCTCGTGGTAGACGAGTACGAGGTACTGGGGTTCTGTCCTGGCGGAAAAGCCTCGTGGTAGACAAGTACGAGGTACTGAGGACCTGTCCTGCAGGAAAACCCCACATGGTAGACGAGTACGAGGTACTGGGGTTCTGTCCTAGCGGAAACCCTTCGTGATAGACGAGTACGGGGTACTGAGAACCTGTCCCGTCGGAAACCCCAAATGGTAGACGAATGTCAGGTACTAGGGAACTGTCCTGCCGGAAAATCCTCTTGGTAGACGAGTACGAGGTAGTGGGGGACTGTCTAGCCTGAAAGCCCTCTTGGTAGACGAGTGTTAGGTACTGGGGAACTGTCTAGCCGGAAAGCCCTCTTGGTAGACGAGTCTCAGGTACTGGGGATCTGTCCTGCCGGAAAATCCTCTTGGTAGACGAGTACGAGGTAGTGAGGAACTGTCTAGCCGGAAAGCCCTCTTGGTAGACGAGTGTTCGGTACTGAGGACCTGTGCTGTCGGAAAATCCTCTTGGTAGACGAGTACGAGGTACTGGGGAACTGTCTAGCCTGAAAGCCCTCATGGTAGATGAGTGTCAGGTACTGGGGACCTGTCTAGCCGGACATCCATCGGAGTAGACGAGTGTGGGCTTTTAGGGAGCTGTCCAGCCGGAAACCCCTCGTGGTAGACGAGTACGGGGTACCGGGGAACTGTCCTATCGGAAACTGCTCGTGGTAGACGAGTGTCACGTACTGTCCAGCCGGAAACACCTGAAAGCGGATACAAGGTAAGATGCAAGTCTGGGACCTCCATTCACGCCTTCTTTCTTACATATAATTGAAATATTGATTAAACATAACATTTTATTATTCAGCGTTATCATTTGGCCGTGAAAGGCAACATGGTGGTGAAAAGTATATGAATGAATCACTGAAAATCAGTAATGACACTAGGCGTTCGCGGAAATGTCATGCTTGACTGAGTGAGTGAGTATGGTTTTACGCCGCTTTTAGCAATAGTACAGCAATATCACGGCGGGGGACACCTGAAACGGGCTCACACATTGTACCCATGTCGGGAATCGAACCCGAGTCTTCGGCGTGACGAGCGAACGCTTAAACCACTAGGCTACCCGACCGCCCCGTCATGTTTGACCATTAGCACCAACCACTCATGTTTTAAGTGCAGAGACTTCCGCTAACAAGTGATGAGAACCACTTAATTACGACACGTGTTTTTTGGTGCAACACAGTTCGGAGAAATGACAAACACAGTAAATTTGAAAAGGTTTGATTTATTTCTTGAGTCTACACCAAAGACAGCCTGACTAGCGACGGTACCACTTCAAGGACATCCAAGGCAGAGTTTGAAACCTTCAACAAAAATAATAATACTCTTACGAACCAAAATAGACTAATAAAGATATAATTACGCAACAAAGTTGTTAATAAGATTACATGTATAAAGGGCAATTTTGTTAGAAAATTATTAAACAAAATTATTGTGTCAAGTATACCTTCAAAATGAAATTAAATTTTAATTCCTTGACTTTTGAAGCGTTTATGCGTAAGACAACGTTGTAATAAAAGAACGGCGGACAACGATAATTGACCTACATGTGTTTCCATATTGGAATATAACCTTGACCATGTGTGTCTTCGTGAGTAAGTGAATGGCGGCGAGTATGGTTTTACGCCACTTTTGCAATATTCCTGCAACATCACGACGCAGGACACCAGATATTGTACACGTGTTGAACAGAACCCGGGTTTTCGGCGTGATGAGGGAACACTGTAACCACTAGGCCACCCCACGCCCCCGCTGTGTCTTAGTGATAGGACTGCTGGGCTGACTCGATTTTTATCTTATGTCAGTGATAATTATGATTATAAATAAAACGTACCTTTTCAATAGCAGTCTATCCATTGATGCCTGGACCAACCCCAGTTCCGGTTCCGGTTCCGGTTCCGGTTCCCGTTCCTGTGCCAGTGCCAGTTCCGGTTCCGGTGAATCCACTGAAGCCATTTCCGAATCCAGCGAAGCCATTTCCGAATCCAGCGAAGCCATTTACATTGTTGAATCCGTTGTTAATTCCGTTGTTGAATCCGAATGCGTTGTTAATTCCGTTGTTGAATCCGAATATGTTGTTGCCGCCGGTGTTGAATCCGAATACGTTGTTGCCGCCAGTGTTTAATCCTCCCGTGAAACCGGAGAATGTAGGGAAACCTTGGAAACCATTCAGACCCGGCTGGAAATTAGTTAATCCGTTGACCCCATTGAATCCGTTGACCCCGTTGAATCCGTTGAACCCGGTGAAGGTGTTCGTGGTAGTTGTTGGAAATCCGAAACCAAAGCCGACGATTCCGTTTCCTCCGGTGAGTCCCGCCGCGAAACCCGTTAATGAACCAAGGTTGTTGAAGTTATTGAAGTTATTAAAGTTGTTGAAGCCCCCCAAACCTCCAAAGCCTCGAGAGCGCCCCCTTCTAAAGCTGCCAAAGCGATTAAATGGGTTAAATAGTCCAAACTGTGCGCGTGTTGCCACGGTAACGACCAATAACACAAGGACGGTTGGAACAGCCTTCATTATTCGGTGACTGCGAACATAAATGAAAAGGCATTACACCATGAGAATGTATATACATAAACATTGATGCTGATGGACAAAACACAGAAGCAAATATGACATAAGAGTGAGTGAGTGAGTTTGGTTAAACCGCCGCTTTATCAGTATTTCAGTTTTATGACAGTGTTATGTGGGAAGAATTGGGTGTGAGTGAGTTGGGTTTAACGCCGCTTTTAACAGTATTCCAGTTATATCGCGGCGTGTCAGCTTAATGTGGGAGGCAAGCCCAAAGTGATGCAGGTCTCAGATGTTTACCACTTCGGTGAAACACACGCGCACGGGTATGGTGCTGACAAACCTAGAAACATAATCGGGGCGAACCGGGATTCGAACCCACAATCATAGGTTTCTGGCGTGCCCAAGGGACGCAACTCTGCACAGCGAATCGCGGCGCCTTAGACGACTGGGCCACCCGTACCCCCTATGTGGGATGAAAGCCCGAAGTGCTGCAGATCTCAGACGTTTACTACTCTGGTGAAACCAACGAGCAGGGGTATGGTGTTGACAATCCTAGAAACATAATAGGGCCGAACCGGGACTCAAGATCGTATGTTTCTGCTGTAACCAAGGGACGTAACTCTGCACAGCGAATTGCGGCGCCTTAGACGACTGGGCCACGCGTGCACCACGACTACCCCAGAAACAACCCGTACGTATTGAGAAAACTTGATGCAGATGCGTTCAATGTTTCTTGTCCACTAAAGAGTCGTGTGTGAGTGAATGTTGTTTAACGCCGCAGTCACAACTTATAAACAGTTTTATTATGGAGCGTGGACGAGCTGCGGTTCATCCGTTCCTCGTTTAGTATCAGTTTGTTTTTTATACATCACTTCTGAGGGCTATGATAAATCCATCGATACAAACATTTTACCTTTCATACAGTTTCACCCCGTGAAGATCCGATTAATACACATGGACAAAAGTTAAGCGCCACCATATTCATAGTCTCTTGATTTCACGTGTGGGAATCAGAAATACGAAATATGATGATGTATGACTGAATTAGGCTTCCATAGTTTCATGAACCCAAATTTGTCCAGATACCACAAGGAAAGCGTGCTTTACGTGTTGCTGCAGTTCCCCTACCCTATAAAAAGTGGAATTCAAGTTTCAGACACGTGGTTGCATTTTGCTCCTGTGTGAGATTCCCCTTCCAATAGAGGTTGGAAATCAACCATGGTGAGGAAAAAGTTAACGAACGCTGAAAGATGGCAAGTGATAGGCATGAAAAATGCTGGCATGTCATGCAGGGCCATTGCAAGACAAATGGGTCGTCATCACAGTGTTATCACTCATTTGATTGTCAAACTGGGCTTATCCTAAAGGAGGGGGGTAGCTTTATCCCGGGGGGAGGCGGAAGGCCATCATCAGAGCATTCATCAGGCACAAGATTATTCAAAGCCGATGAGCGACATGTTTTTTTGTGTTGTCGAGTGTAATGACTTTAATCAAAGACCGCCTCCATGGTCTTGTGGTAGAGCGTCCGCCCGGAGAGCGGAAGGTCCGGGGTTCGATCCCCGGCCGCGTCATACCAAAAGACGTTAAAAGATGGTACTTGTTGTTACCCTGTCTTGCGCTCGGCACTAAAAGGACTATCCGGCTCGGAGTCAGTATACTGTGTCTGAGTGGGGTATTCATGTTAAACTGCGGCATGGTATCTAAGTGAGCTAGCACTATAAATTAGCATTAGTCCGGACTTGTACAAGCAGCCAAACACACACACGTCGCTATATGGGTGCAATAATCTTGGAAGCGACGTTAAACCCAATTTCACCTCACCTCACCTCACCTTTAACCAAACTGACGGACACAGGAACGTGAACACTTGAAAATTGGATTTGACCCAATATTTATTGACGTTATTAGGCTGAAAACAGTCGCCTGTTGTAAGATACTCACTGGCATGACCTATGTAGACTCGCCAATGATACCCGTGTCAAATACATCACCATCAAATAACCTTTTTTTTCACCATGAATCAAGGGTGCGTACTTCCTTTTGTTCGGCAGTGTACTATTAAATAGAAAATTGTTATGAATATAAAGTTATTATTTCAATATCTGCTTATCACGTTGACACTGGGGCTTATTCTATCCCCAGAATACCCTGAGAGAGACATGGATGAAGTACTGGGGGACATATTATATCCCCGGAATACCCTGAGAGAGACATGGATGAAGTACTGGGGGACGTATTCTGTCCCCGGAATCCATACAGTGAGACATGGATGAAGTCCTGGGGACGTATTCTGTCCCCGGAATTCTTACAGGGAGACATGGATGACCTTCTGGGGGACGTATTCTGTCCCCGGAATTCTTACAGGGAGACATGGATGACGTTCTGGGGGCGTATTCTGTCCCCGGAATTCTTACAGGGAGACATGGATGACGTTCTGGGGGACGTATTCTGTCCCCGGAATTCTTACAGGGAGACATGGATGACGTTCTGGGGGCGTATTCTGTCCCCGGAATTCTTACAGGGAGACATGGATGACGTTCTGGGGGACGTATTCTGTCCCCGGAATTCTTACAGGGAGACATGGATGACGTTCTGGGGGACGTATTCTATCCCCGGAATTCCAACAGGGAGGCATTCATGGAACACTGGCTGTTCTGCCAAAAGTCACATTTTCAATTTAGCTCTGTATATCTACCTAAACCTATGTTCAAATTAATTCAGCGAAGATTTCACTATGAACCTTTTCTTCTTTCACCAGAGTCCTCTGGTACTGTTAGATTTGTTTGTGTTTTTTAACCATTACAATAGACAAAGACCACGCCATGTCTTGTTCCATTAGAGCAGGATACGTATTAAAATTTCCACTATATACAGTTCGGTTTTCCTGTACGCGATCACCAGGCCGTGTCAGGTGTCATGCAAGGATAGTTTTAGTGATGGGATTCTTTTTTGGAACGGACATGGAACGCCAAGAAGGTCGTGTGCTGCTTTTTAGAGAATTCTATGTATGTACAGACAATCTGAGAATGCAGAGGTTTTTCTTCTCTTTATCCCAACAACCACACAGTAAGACGAGGAATAGAGGTGGCATATGTCTTTGTAAACGATGTGAGTTTGTTTTGCAGCATTACTCCTCCTCTGTGACGGCGTTTATATAATTTGTGAGGTGAGGTGAGGTAAGGTGAAATGGGATTTAGATTACAGTGTGTGTGCGTGCGTGTGCGTGCGCGCGTGTGTGTCTGTGGCTGCTTGTACTAGTCCGGACTAATGCCGATTTTATCATGCTAGCCCACTGAGATACCATGCCGCAGTTTTGAGATGAATACCCCAGACACAGTTTTCTGTCTCCGAGCCGACCAGACCTTGTTTTAGCCCCTTAATGCCGTGTGCCAGACAGGGAAACAACAAGTACCATCCTTTAACGTCTTTCGGTATGGGGATCGAACCCGGACCTTCCGCTCTCCACTAGACCACTGAGGCGGTCATATAATTTGTAAGTGAGTGAGTTGGGCTTAACGCCGCTTAGAACAGTGTGTCAGTTCTATCACGGCGTGTCAGCTTGATGTTGGGGGTAAGGCGAGGTTAGATGAAATGGAGTCCTGAGTCCGAACCAATGCTTGTTTGATAGTGCTAGCAATCTTCCCGAGGCAAGAGAGTTAACTGACTTTAAAAGTCCAGTTTCCACCTTTGCCGAAATACGCTGGTATTATGGAGTTACATTTTGGCTGGACTAACGAGTCTATGCATAGTCCAATCAAAATCTCGCAACGAAATCGAAATCCGGTTCGTAAACTGTCGTGCAGATTTCGGTCGATTGGAGGATTTGCAAAGCACGTGCACCGCCAACTTGTTGTAAACAGGTATTTTCCAAACCTTATCATATTTTAAATCAAGGTGCTCGCGTGATTTGATGCACTTCGCGATGTAAGACCCGTTTTATTACAATATAGATCTTGATTATTGATCAGATCGTCTTGACAGGACGCCGCCATATTGTTTGAAACAAATGCAAGTGATGGAATCGGATTGGTCCATAGGAGAGGCTTAGAAGGGACGTAACTCATAATAACCAATGGTGGCGCTACGATCGAGCCCAGGAATCCCAGCCTAGTTCGGCATAGTGGAAACCTGGACTTCAGTTAACTCTCTTGCCTCGGGAAGATGAGTGCTAGCCTACTGAGACCCCATGCCGACCGCAGTTTAACATGGATGTCGACACTGTGTACTGGATCCGAGCTGACCAGTCCTGCCGAGCGTAAAACATGGTAACAACAAAGAGTACCATCTTTTAACGTAATTTGGTACCAACAACCTTCCGCTTTCTGATGTTAGAGAAAATCTGGTCTTAGTGATGCAGGTATCAGACGTTTACCGGGTATGGTGCTCACAAACCTAGAAACATATTCAGAGCGAACCTGAGATTTAAACCCACGATCACAGGTTTCGGACACCCGAAAGGGACGTAACCCTGCATAGATAATTGCGGCGTCTGAGAAGACCGCCGGTGCGCCCTATAATGGGAACAGATTGCATTGAAGTTTATAAACTGGGACATATTACTATAGAAATCGATTCCATCAATTGGGTGCGTCAAAATGATCATCAGATACAAACTAACTTAACTGTCGTATTTCCACAGAAATATACTAGTGTTTGATGTCAACATAAAAATATTTATTCGGTATGTAAGGCCATATGGCCAAGAGTAAAACAAATAAGACAAAGCTTTTGCACATGGTCAAGTGGGACAAATGTCATGCTATATCAATAAAAATATATAATATAATGTAACTTTATACAGACAGAATTCTTTTCATTTTATATATATACCATTTTTTATGAGTTTTACATTCTTTGTTGCTAATAGTGGATACATGTAATATTAACTAGGGATTACAGTCTTTCTATTTTCCGTACAAAATTGACATACTAAAAGTAAATGGTATTCATTTTCAATTGCATAGTGGGAACACTATTCCAGTTATATCACTGGTATCAGCTTAATGTGTGAG